GGGGGGGGGGGGGGGGGGGGGGCTTTTCAAAGAAAAAATACAAAAATTCCAGGTGGTAATTGTCCCTTTTGGATGACCACAGCTTCTGAGTCTTTAAGATGTATATATCAGTCAAACATTTTTTCATAGGATGAAACAGAAGGGGGGAGGCTTCCATAGTCTGCAAAAAGACAACATGCTTACATGAGAGGAAGCATTCATACTTCCTATAGTCATGCCTTAATTAATATCTGTTAAATTATAGTTCAGGTAGTTGGCTGTTACCAGCCTTAGCCAAATAGTCCCCTCAAAATTCACTTGTTATCAATTAGAGTAAATTGAAGAATTTTGGTTTTGGCTAAAAATAATTGAAATATAATTGGAGAACTGACTTGCATCCTATAGAGTGGGTTTTCTCATATGCTATCCGGATGTGTTATTTTCTTCAGTTGTCTGCTAGGCTGATCATTAGTAATCTCTGAAATTAAAGACTGAGATTTAAACTGAATCTAGACATTAAATGGAATCTAGACATGATTATCACAAACAAGTAATGTTCTGTCTATTGAAATCAAAGCTTACATGCACTCAGACATTTAGGACCCCAAAGTCTCCTTGGCAGAGAATATTTTCCAAACAAATTGCTTGGGATACGCTGTTCTGCATGCTTAGGATTTTATATGCTAAATTTGATAATATATTCATTAGATCTATATTATTATTAGATTTTTAAATTCTGACTCAAAATGCTACCCGTGACAGACCCTAGATTAGCCATATACCATCTTTTGGAACAAATAGGGTTAAATACCTAAAATATTCAACTTGGCTTTAAAAACTTTGAAGTTCATCAAATTGATGGGAACCGTTGCAGCACAACCTCTCTCTCCAAAGAACATTTCAGGAGGTACCCTACATTATGGCAACTGACCAGTCATGCTGGTTTTATTTGATATATGGGGTAGACTATCCCCAGTAGAATTCCTTCCTTCATGCAACAAAGCAGAATTAATGGCAAGCAGGACATTATAAAATCTGTTTCAAACCATATTCTATTTTCAGTGTGCTGTCAACTTTCAAGCTCCACACATTCACCAGTTACACTAATTAGATTTATTAGGGTAGGCTAAGGGCTGCACTTGCTGATCAAAGGCCAGAAAAACAGTATTCTTGTCCATCATCAAGGCAATGACTTTGGCTTCCTGATGTCTGCCAAATGTTACCATGCTAAGTGACACTTTTAAATACTTCAAGAAAGTGAAACTGCTGTGCTGTTGTATACAGAGCTTTCTAACATTATTGGGACTGTTTATTGATATACTAAATATTAGTGGATGCATTATATTTTCTAATGATAGCTGTCTTGAATTTTCCACAACCCTTTAATTCTGCCATAACTTATTTTGGATGACGGCCTTTTATTTCCATAAATTTACAGTAATTGACCTTAGAGTGTGTCAGACCGGTCTAAGAAATTTATCTTAATTGGTTCAGAAAGAAATCAGTCCATTTCTCCAACAATGACAACATGGCTAAATTAATTTCCCAACCAAACCAAATTTGGTCTGGCAGCCTTTCCAAAAGTCAGGGATAGAAACCCTCCAAACCAGGCCAGGCTGCATGTATCCTTCTAGACATGAAAGGGAGGAGGAGAGGTAAACACTCAGGAACATCTCAAAATCACACTATTTAAATTCAATTAAAATGGGATTTCAGGGGATTTTCTGCCAAAAACAAAGGTCCAAATAGGGACAAGGAAGAGAAGACAAAATTGTTAAAATACACCTGTATTTTCTGTGAAGTTAAAATGAAGGTTATTATAGTTTAAAATATTCAGCAAGTTATCCCAGATTCCTCTAAATTCAGAATTTGGCAATTTTACATCTAAACATACATTACAGTACTGCTGTAATTAAATGAAAATATGAAATGAAAATCCAGTCGATCTCCTTTAACTTTCACAGGATATAAATGACTTTTGGAACATTCTACTGTTTCCTTCTGTAAATGCTAAACATCCAGAAGGTCATAGCAGATAAGACTGGGGACAGATTGAAATATCACACCTGCATGCAAAGGTGAAAAAAGGTTGTTAGTGGTGAACATGCACTGAATCCAGAAAAATGTCCACCAAAGTTTTAGTTCGTGTTTTTTCATGAGATATGAAGAATACCCAATGAAACACTATCAACACTCTGTACATACTACCCACACCCCACATACTACCCACACCCTACCCACATGGAGCTGCTTTGCGCATAAATTTACACACTTGACATGTAGGATCCAGATATAAAACAAAACACTACATCAAGCTTCATTTGCTATAACAGAAAGCTTCAGCCAATTCATTTAGAATTTCCTGTGGACTCCATCTTAAAGAGCAAGAAGGAAGCTTAGAAAAGTATTATCTATTCTATAATTTAGAAAGAGAGCATGAAGCATGAACATGGAATGGGCAACTGTCATACTAGCTTCTGGAAAACACAACAATGGTATGAAAAAGGGAAAAAAATGAATTATTTCAAGCCTCCAAACTTCTGATGCTGCCCACTAAGTCAATCAGACAAGCTAATCTAATTCTTTTCAAATGGAAATTGGACCAAATGCTCGAGGTCCGACAGCTAGGAAACTACCTCTCTTTTACAGCGACTTTGTGTTTGCTCTCTAGACATTGAAAAATCAGCAATCATTTACAGCAATTGCTAAATTGATGTCTAATGTGCTACTCAGCAAACCTGGAAACCTATTTCAGTCTCATTTTGATAGGAATTATTCTGAACCAAAATACCGTATGCTTAGAAGCAGACAATGAGTTAAGGATACTCGTTAATACTATAGATGTGAATAAAATTGGGATTTAATATGGCCAAAACATTCTAAGGCTAAGAGTCTATATCAATGAAGTTCTGTCTACCTCCACCCTATTCCCCTGATTGTGTTGATTGTAAGTCCAGCATTCATCGTTCATGTTAGCCAGGGCTGTTGGGAGTTATAGGAATAAGGAATAGTTTACAAACATCAGAATCCATCATTTCCCACTTCTGTCCCATTTTTTTATGCTCTCTCTCTCT